AACACATCTCTCTCTCTCTCTCTCTCTCTCTCTCTCTCTCTCTCTCTCTCTCTCTCTCTCTCTCTCTCTCTCTCTCTCTCTCTTCTTCACCAGAATAGAACGTCAGGACGTCCGGGTCATTATAGCTGTATCTAGACTCAAGGGTGCTGCAAACAAAGTTAGCAAACCTATAATGACCAGGCATTCTATTTGGCGTAACGGTAAGGGGCCTGCACTTTTGTGAATTGTGTGGTTTCCCCTTCGTCACGCTGGTCCTTCAGCATGGCCAGGCCTTTCACAAGGCCACTACAACATTTCTGCTTATCAAACCTGCACAGTTCTTCTTCTCAAACTCCCACACTCAACTTTCGAGAACCACAAAAACAATTGTGCGAAAATCAATCGTCACTTCAGGACTGGAGCTCTGGACCATTCGCTCTGAAACCAATCCTGAACCCTCTGCTCACAGTGCTCAGTATATGTTCTTTGTATCAGACTGTATGCGTGTATGCGATGATGATGGCATGATTCTTTCAGTCACAGGACTGCTGTGGATGCTGTGCGTTGTGTTCCTTGAGCACGGTGGTTCGAAGCCTCATCTATAACAGCTACGGCCTAGGCACACCGAGTCCTCAACTTCCGCTTCTTGTTTGCTCTTTGACCTTTAATGCCAGACTTCTTTGGAACCCTTGCATTGTTGGTATTATCAATAGTATTCTTTTTACGATGGGACTCTATTCATTTTCATTCTCTGTTTTTCTTTCTGCTTTCTGTTTCCTTTTCCCTCTTTTTTCCTTTTCCCACTACTTCTCCCAGCTATTTCGTTCTGACATGGTGGCTAATTCACTGCGTCCTTCGGGGCTCGGCTTACCAAAACTATTCGGCTGGCAGAGCAAGCCATAACAAAAAAAATATGTGCCACGCCAGTTCGTTTTCTTTGGCACCCACCAGGGCCACCACTAATTCGCTTCGGGGAAAAGAGGTGGACATAGTGGTGGCTTAAGAGATACTGAGCGAAGATGACGGAGACCTGAGGATGGAATATCTTGATCCCTGCACGTGGAATCTCCACGGGGGAGCTCTCTGCTGGTGTACTCTTCTGCTATTTTTCCCTCTTCTATTCTTGTCTCCCTGCCTAAGTGCCCATCAGCTCTCCGCACTACACTCAGGAGGCATCACTAACCGTGCAATACTTGCTAGTCTTACACGTACATGGAGGAGGAGGAAGCATATGACAACTCCAGCAGCAGCACATACCACTGCTAGAGGGGGAGGGGTGCCATTCACAATGACTGCGACAACAACATTGCTGCGGCCCCAGGCAACGCACCTTCAGGCAGCAAGGTCGAGTGGACACTTCGACGGCTCCACAAGACGGTCATGGCAGCCAACATGACCAGGTCCTGGACAATCTTTATGGGGCTGCCTTGTCAACATGCCTCATCATTATGCTATCATGCCTTTTTCTATTATTCATATCCACATGCCATTGGCCCACTTCGAAGGGAAGCTTAGTCAGATTACACACACTGCTTACCCTACATATTAGGTCATTGGTTCGAATCCAACCTAGGGACTCCAAGCTGTTCCATGTTCAGAATTCCCCTTACGGTCGAACAACATTCTATTCTAATTAGCAACAAGATGTCATGCAAGCGCTTTGTTGCTTGCTTCTCTACTTAAACCACCAGTACACGGCCCCATCCTTGCAGAAAAAAATTCCATCCCCACCGCACTGTAGCACTGGTACTTTCGGGGCCCGCGCGCCATTAACAAAGTTATTCAATGGTCGGTGTCACATTTCGGGCCTCCCGAAATTGAGGTGCCAGGCCCGCAGCCCAGGTGGCCGTGTACTGGTGGCAGCCCCTAACCAGTGACCTCTTGTCGGGGCCCATCAACATGCAAAATGAAAAACGAATGGTCATTTCAGATTGCTTGAATGGAAGCTCGGTTTTGAACATTATCTCATGTTTATATTTTGAGGGATACTCACCTGGTTATTTTTTAAGAATAAGCAGAATAGTATAAGAATGAACACACAAAATCATACAATACTGAAAAACAGAATTTAACAAATGTTAGCAACTAAGCATTAATATCATCTCCATAACCATGAACACGTAGAACGCGAGATCACATACCAACAAACGACTAAGGTAACTTTTATTTGTATACATAAACAACATTTTCTTCCAATCCATGAATAGTTCTCAAAAAAAGAAATGCCAAAAAAAAAACAAAGGGAAAGAGAGATAACCGACTTCAATAAGAGAGAGAGAGAGAGAGAGAGAGAGAGAGAGAGAGAGAGAGAGAGACGACTTAAATAAGAGAGAAAGAGACGACTTAATTGTGTGTGTGTGTGTGAGAGAGAGAGAGAGAGAGAGAGAGAA